ATGTTATTCCTCCACATCTCCACCACCGCGACCACACTAGCTTCATCCTCAATGCTCCTGCCACTATTAGCCAATGCACCTCACCACCACGAACGTTGTCGGAGCTTCACATGTCATCACCATTATCATTGGAAAGTGAAGCTCACAAATAATATTTGTAATGAGTCACTACAACACCATTCAGATGTCACCTCGCCAACAACGAACTTGGAGCTAGAACACAACAAACCAATACATCATTAGCCTTCATCGAAGCAGACGCTAGCTTCATCTTTAGCCATTGTGAACCATTGTAGAAGATCTTCCAACGATGCAGCAAGTCTAACAGTAGTTCATCATAGAAAGGAGTGACAACACCTGCATCACATATTTACACAAGTACGCAGAAACCACTTTCGAAAATGCTTTTTTTTTTCTTTTCACTTAAAGGTATTAGATCAGGTGTTCTATAACCGATCTAATATAAGTATATATTATTAGATCGATTGTGTAACCGATCTAATATGTCTTTGATATATTACATTGACGCGTATTCAATTAGTTGTGGAACCAATCTAATATATTTATTTTGCACTAGTGGTCCATGCATCATCATTCAAAATGAAAACATCTAAATAAATAATATTTTATTGTACCAAAATAGTATAGCTTCTCAATTAAGACCAAAAGTTCAAGTGTTTATCTATTCTTGTGAAATTGGATATACTCTGTAACAATTAACTCCAAACACTCCAAGCTCCAACCTCGACAATACTCGTCCTCCACAACGGTACTCGTCCTCTGCAAGTCAGGTGGAGGTTATACAAAAGACATTTTGACGCTCAAGCTAGTCGAGTGCTTAGAAAAAACGAATGTTGTAATAATGGAATGAATAATTTACATTGTGTACTATGCTATTTATACCATGTTTTATGGATTTCTTATCTGGATAGGTCTGGCACATTCAACTACTCACCTTGATTAGTCTTTAGTTATTCAAACTGCTTAATTATATCTTAATCACAATCTTAACTCAACTTAGTCAACGTCTTACATATGCCAATTCCTTTTGATCGTCATGTATTCGATTATGCTATCTAGATGATAATCTAAGGACCGGATACACCTAAATTTAGATAGAACGAATTCAAACATGTAAGTATATTTACTGATTGACTAACATCTATTACAAACACTGAATAGGTCCTTGTATCATTAAAAAAATCATCTAATAAATAATATTTTACTATACCAAAACAATAAAAATAAAACATCTTAATAAATAATATTTTACAATATCATAATAATATAGGTTCTCAGTTAAGACCAAGTGTCCAAGTGTTTATCAATCCTTCTACGTGGCTTAAATATTATTTTCAGTATTATTGTCTGACTTAATGTTCTCTCCATTATTAAAACGATGTTATTTAAGATATAGTTTATTTTAATCTTTAATAAATTTATATCTCTCCATTATTAAAGTTATCGAATTTAAGATATAGTTTATTTTAATCTTTAATAAATTTATCATGATTTTGTACTTATTAATGGCTGATGTGATTTAGTACCAAAAGCAATATAAAAAAATAATATTTTTCTCTATTTAGTGCAATATAAAATAAGGAATAATGCTTTTAAAGAAAATTGATGGTTTATTTATGCGAAATGTTGTTGATTAAACTAAATAATAAGCAGTAGTCGGCTACAACGTGATTAAATATGTAGTATATGCTAAGTTTTCTTAAATATTTAATAAATAAATGTAAATCATATTTTTATTAGTAGAAGTTATGGACTATTGTTATTTTTTAACTTAATCGTTATGTAGTTATAGGATATTAAATCCTAGTAAAAAGCTAAGTGTTTTAGTATAGTTGGAACAATAATTTAAAAAAAGTCCCTTAAAGATTTACGGGTATTATAAAACTTTTCTAACTTCGGAAACAAAAAGTTTAAAAACTTTTTAAATTCAAGTAAAATGGAAAATCTCATTCATTTAATTTAAATTAAATTAAACTATAGTCAAAATCTAAACTTCCAATGAAGTGAAGAAAGCCATTACATTATTAAATACACAAAATTATTTAATATCCAAAATATTCTCAATCATTTGTTAATCTTTGTTGCTTTACTTATTAGAAGGTGAGTTAGTTGTTGTGGGACTTCCAACACACCTCCTTTACACCGAGGTATAGACATCTCGTGTGTGATAGTAAAAATTGGGTGGTCCGATAACGGCCCAATAGCGGGTAGAATAGAAGAATATAATGTCCACTTAGAACTCGCTAGGATAGGCTTTAACCATGGTTCTAACACCATATTAGAAAGTGGGTTTTTAAGCCTAACTCAACCCCACAAAACCGGCTTGTAAGGTGAGGTTTGCACCTCATTTATATATTATAATTTGGCCTTATCTCTAGTCGTTGTAGAACTTTCAACATTACTCATCAACTAATATATATATATATATATATATATATATATATATATATATCACCTTAAAAAAGAGTTATCTCGAGAGAAGGTTATCTAAGTATGACCTCACTAACAACATCAACCAAACATACAGAGTCACACATAAATAAAATAAATGTGAATTAACATACAAACAATCATCTTTATAGTCACAATTCACAATTAAACAATATAAAAATCATATCATATCACTTGACCAACATATGTTATCAAAGTAACTATGTAACCACTCGTGATCTCACACACCAATTCAACACACAAATGGGCAATGCAAGATATTGACTCATACAAAACTACTTGATAAACTACTTTCGTGTTACGTCCTTTCACAGAGTTTTCAACCATTCATTCTCCAAAATATTAGGTTCTCAACTACAAACTATAATTCCTTACTACTCCTAGAGTCTTATAAATAAAGTTCACTCCTCTATACTCTCTCAAAGAAACTTACACAATTCTTATATAAAGTCTACTAAGAACATAAGACGTCACCTGCTGTTGACAAAGACACATTCAAATATGTCAATAACCACTTCTTACCCATACAATGTTTCTCATGCAACATCATTACAACATCAAAACTCCTTACATATTCACAATTAACAAATAAGATACAAAACACAAACTAAAACATTAAAATATTTAAAAGAGTTAGCTCGAATTTACATTGAATTGTTTATTCCTACTCTCATCCTTAATATTTTTGTGTTTCCTTTTATCCTACCAATTTCTAAATACTTCCATATACTATCCAAATATTCTAATCAAATAAATTATTTAACTTGTTTTATCATTTTATTTATACCAAAAATTATAATTTAAACTTACTTCATATTTTCATTATTTAAATTTATTAATTTTTCTAAAGTTTTTCAGAATCAAAAGCCATCTTCAATCCTTAAATATTTTCAAGAAAAGTTCTCTTAAACTACAAGGAAAGGTAAATGTTGATCAAATTATCTCAGTAATTTTTTCTTATTCTTGAACAAGTGTGTAAATTGCAAAAAAATTTAAAAATATGATTTCTGTACTTTGCATTATTTGTTTGTTCAAAAATGATCATTTTGAATTATTTTTTTAGTCATATTCTAACACTGCACAAAAACTATTTAGTGATGAAGTTGTATTATTAATTGATTTATCTTAAATATTTAATAATTGTCTTAACAGTAATAAATAAACCGGACCGATCATTTAATAATTCTGTATTTTGCATCTGTGTTTGTTCAAACATGGTCATTTTGAATTATTTTTTTAGTCATATTCTAACACTGCATAAAACTATTTAGTGACTAAGTTGTATTATTAATTGATTTTTAGTAAATATTTAATAATTGTGTGAACAGAAATAAATAAACCGCACTCATGAATTAATAATTCTCGGCTCCTTATTATTGTATTAATTAATACGAAGTATACGTCTACTTAAAATTTGTTGACCACTGATCCATCCAGTTTGATAAGATACATCCAAATTTTCCTTTATTTATTTATTTATCATGATAATTAATTTGTGTTAATACTTTTACATAGAATAATAAATATATTAAATTAAAAACTGAATACAAAAAATAATATAAAGCAGTGATAGTATGATGCATGATTATTATATATTACAAAAAAATGGTATAAAACAATAAAATAGTAAAATATTAATTAAATATAAATATAAGTGCATTACTGTTTTTTTTTATAAATAAAATTAAGTTATTCTGGTAATTTATAAATTTTAGTTTTATATGTACTGGGAGTTAGACTTTAACTATAAAAATTAAACTTAACCAAATAATTAACACTGCACTTAATATTAAAATTGAATGTAATTATCGTAGTTAATGCTGTTCTGACAAACTAAAAAAAAACAAAACATTGCACATAATATTTAAATTACCATAATTTATAAGAGAACATTTTAAACAAAATATATTTTTAAATATGAATAGTTAGATTTTAAATTGGTGTGACACAAATTTAATCGTATTATTATCCAATAGTAACACCTGAATATTAATAGTAAAACCTATAAATATAATAAAAAAGAAAAAAAATCAATAAATTTTAAAAATATTTTACATAAAACATTTCAAAAAAAATTTTATATTTAAAAAATATATTTTTAAAAAATTCAGTTAATAATATATATTTTTTAGTATAAAATTATTTTTTTATATATAAATATAAATTTATATTTATATTTTTTATTTTTTAAAAACAACGCACATAGTCTTAAATAATGTCAGGTTAAAATAAAAAAAATAACTAATTTTGTTTTAAAAAGTATCTTAAAACATATTAAACCTATTAACATATATATTATTTCTTCAATCAGTAATATGTAAATTAAAATATATAGAAAATGTAAATAATATTTTTGTGTCTCTGCCAACCCTAACCCGAGATAATGTGGGTAACGGGTCCTATAAATCTGGATGCAACCCGTCAATAAACAAATTAAACAAACATAATAATACTATATATATATATAATATATATATATATATATATTATTATTTTTTCTTTCCTTTCCCTCTTTTCTTACAGAACGGAAGAGAAAAGGAGGAACTATCTTTTGACGCCGCAGCACACATAATTTTTTTTGAGGTTGCTTCTCTTCCGCCGCGCACCCGTGTTCACTGTCTCTGAGGTTGCAGGGTTTCACGACTCCAATGGCGGCTTTCGACCACTTCGGAAACATGTACGAAGTCGCATTCAAGCCCCGCCTGCTTCTCTCACTCATAAGAGACCATCTTCCCGACGAGAATAGTACCTTCTCCGACCCCTCTAAACTCTCAAAGGCCGTGTCACTCGTAAAAACGCACTCTCTTCTATCCGAGTCTTTCCTCGCAGACTCCACGTCCGCCAAAGTAATCGAAGCCTGGAAGTCCGCATTTTCTTCATGGCTCAACCGCATATTCTCCCTCCTCTCCACCTCCATGGTGTGAATCAAAAGCAGCAAGCTTTTAAATTTTCTTCATTTTTTTCTTTCTTGTTTTGAATGATTTTTGTAGTTGAAATGGGTGTGTTGTTCTTTTCTAGCCTGATAAATGCTGGGCGGGGATCTCTCTGCTCGGGGTGACATGTGAAGAGTGCAGCTCTGAGCGATTTCTGGAGTCTTACTCTGCGTGGTTCAACAAGTTGCTGGCTTTTCTACAGGTACAGAGATGTTTTGCCTTTCATGCTGATGATTATTGTCAGACTTTTTGGGTTTAGGAATACAAAGTGCTGTTCACTGTAGATATACAGTTGCCTAGGGTAGTAGTTGTTTGGATGAACATTTACATAAGTCTAGGAAAAGAAAGTAAGGCTTTAGGAAATAAATTTCTTCATTAGCCAAGATTAACTTATTTATTAGTTTAAAGTAATCTTTTAGAGAAATTGGAATGAGAGAATTTCTATAAATTAATGTATGCATAAACTAGTTTTAGTTTATAGAGAAACTCATTTAATTTTTTCTTATTCATCTTCTTTTTCTTTGTGTTTATGGAGAACTTTATCCTCATAGATCCTAGATGAATTTAGACCTCAGTGAAGCTCACATGTGGCTAGTACATTGGTTCTTTTAAGCATATGACACGGGTTTGATCTCTTATCTGTAGTCTGTAGTGAGAATATCTCTGGTCCAATTCTGGATCTAAAACATAATGATTCTTTTTAACTGTAATGCTTGGTATGCTATCCTGCACATATTTTAGCATACAAGCCAATGCTGGTGCTTGAAAGAGAAGTTAATGCATTTGATACCATTTATATCTAATCTGCTTGTACTACTCACCTTTACAGATTTCAGGCATCCCTCCTGTAAATTGTTGTAAATAGGCAGTCTATCTTTTGCGGATGCCTTTTGGAATTACAACATGTGCTTGTTCCTTCTGTATGTCATTAAAGAGCTCACAAAGCTTCCTTTCTTGTATTCTATGAGGATGCCATCTTTTTCTACATGATATGTTACTGATTAACACTATACATCATTTATGTTATACTGTCTATTTCCTTTGACTTTCTTATGAATCTTTTAAAGTACGAGCACACTCAAAAAGATGTCCTTGTTTGCATTCATCTTTGTACAAATCTCTGAAATGAATTTTGTATGGTCAAATGTGACGAGCTCCTTGATCTTTGTTTGAAACAGTCACCAGCAGATTCACATCTAGTGAGGGTAGCGGCTTGTGCTTCATTGTCTGATATATTTATAAGGTTAGATATTTTTTTTCCTACCTTGAGACTATTAGTTGGTACAAATATTGGTCTGCAATGTAGAGTGCTCATGCTTGATGCATCTGATTTCTCTCTCTCTCTCTCTCTCTCTCTCTCTCTCTCTTTCTGCATGCTACTGCATGGTTGTCACCTATGTCAGCAATAATTTTTTCTTTCTCTGTTATGCATAATACTCAATAGGACGAGGTCAAGGTTGTTGGACTTGAGCTTGCAAAAACTTGTCAAACAAACCTGCCAGAGTTTACTTGATTAAAAAACAGTATTAATCTGTTTTTTGCAGTATCTAAAATAAATGAATACCATAAATTAATAAAAAGAAATTCCATGCCCCAAGTTTCAATATATTACCAGTCTTATTTTTAGGGCATTCCTCCTTGTTTTGAAAATGAGCCTAGCAACTGTATTGCTTGAGCACCTCGACCACCCTCTAATGTGAGATATCTTTTGGACTACAAACCAAACAAATTGGTGATATTAATTACACAATCCACTCTTTAACAGTGATCTCAGTTCTCAACTAATACTGCAAGATCAGAAAGAAAAAAGAAACAGAGACACCTTGTTCACAATTTAGGCTTCATAATGGCAGTCAACCAACTAGATAGAGGCCAGTAGTAGTTGCTCAAGTCCAAGTGTGTTAGTGAGGTGACTTGATTGGTGAGCCCACTCGGGATTAAAACCAGAGAAATATAATTTTAGAGGGCTTAATAGACCCTTCTCATGTTCTACTATGTCCTAGACTGCCAGGTACCATAAATAGAGATAACCCACACACTCCTCCCTACTTTAGTGCTTTCGACTTCACTAACATAAAGAGACTTAATAATTATTCCAACACTCCTCCTCAAGTTGGAGCATACAGATTGTAAGTACCAAGCTTGGAACAAATAAATTCAATCTGAGGTTCCCTTAAAGACTTGGCCAACACATCTGTGAGTTGGTCATTTGATCAAACAAACTTTGTACATATTTCTCTTGTCAACAACTTTTCACGAATAAAATGACAATCAATTTCTATATATTTAGTTCTCTCATGTAACACTCGATTTGATGCAAATGGAAAGCAACTTGATTATCACATACATCTTCATAGTCTGGATGTCACAGAAGTTAAGTTCTTGGAAGAACTGCTTCACCCATATAAGTTCATACATTAGTGATGCCATTGTCCTATATTTAGCTTTAGTTGTTGATCGAGGAGCTACATTATGTTTCTTACTTTTCCATGAATAATGTTTTTTTCAAGGAAAACACAATATCCAGTAGTAAACTGTTTGTCAATAGGCGAACCTACCCAATTTGCATCACAATACCTAGAGACCTGAATGCCTCCTCTATCTTCATATAACAACCCTTTTTCGAGAGCCTTTTTGAGGTACCTTAGAATGTGAATGATAGCATTCCAATTGCCAATACATGGAACCTGCATGAACTAACTAACCAGTCTACTGTATTGTATCTCTCTGAATCAGAAAATAATTCACCTTCTTTTGTCAATAATTTCTGATTTAGGTCCATAAGACTATCTAGTGATCTACAATCAATCATACCTTTTTCTTGTAATATATCAAGATCATACTTCATTGAGAGATTACAACTCCATCTTTTGACTGAGCTACATCAATGCCCAAGAAGTATTTAAAGCTTCCAAGATCCTTGGTTTGAAAATGTCTACACAAGTGCTCCTTCAGTTGAGATATTCTAGCATTATCATTTCTGTAATGACTATATCATGAACATATACTATTAAGTAAACATATTTCCCGAGAGATGTATGAAGTAAAAGACCGAATAATTTGCTTCATTGTGTCTTAGCCCAAATTTTTGAACAATGGAGTTGAATTTTCCAAACCAAGCATGTGGTGATTGCTTCAGGCCATATAGAGTGCGATGCAATTTGTATACTATACTAGACTCCCCTTGAGCAACAAACCGTTGCTCCATATAAGTTTCTTCCGCAAGATCATCATGGAGGAAGACATTTCTGATATCCAATTGATGAAGTGACCAATGATGAATTGTTCCCATTTCAAAGAAAAGACCAATTGTAGTCATCTTGGCCATTGGAGAGAAAGTGTCACAATAATCAAAGCCATAAACCTGAGTGTACCCTTTTGCAACTAACTGGGCTTTGAGTCGATAAACTTCACCATCGGGGCCGACTTGAACTGCATATACCCATTGGCAACCAACTGCCTTTTTGCCTAGTGGAAGGGCCATGGCTCCCAAGTATTATTGTGGTCAAGAGTTTGCATTTCTGCAATCATGGCTTGTTGCCATCAAAGAGGACCAAGTGTTTCATTCACATTTTTTTGGGTATAACCATAGAAGACACTGAGGATAAAAGAGAACAATAGGAAAGCAATAGCTAAGAAAATTATAAACATGATGTGGGTTTCGAGTGGAACAAGTACCTTTTCTGAGAGCAATGGGCCATCCTGAATCATCTTCACTAGGAGTCGTGGTATTAAGTGACAAGGGAGAAGAATTTGAAGTAGGGGATTCACCATTTTCTTAGAGTCGGAGGATATCGATATGTGGAGATGATGGTTGAGGAGGACTTTGATCAATATTTGAATTGACAAAGACATTAGAAATATTGGAATCAACCACTGGAATAGGAAGGACCTTCTGTATGACATGAACATCTCGAACTGAGGGGGAGAAGTAAGGAGTCTATTCAAAGAATGTAACATTGGCAAACATGTAGTACTTGGTTTCAGAGAATAACACCGGTACCCTTTTTGAAGTCGGGAATAGTCTAAGAAGACACATTTGATAGCACAAGCAGAAAACTTGTCTAACCCTGGAGACATGTCATGAACAAAACATACACAATCAAAACTCGAGGAGAAGTGTGAAAGAGAGGATTATTTGGAAATAGAATGGAGAAAGGAGCCTTATGATTGGAGAGGAGGACATCCTCTTAATGAGGAAACATGCAGTTAAGATGACATCTCTAGTGATGAATAGGAATATGGGCACCTAGTAAAAGGGTACAAACAATTTCAACCAAGTGTCTATTTTTTCTTCCTGCTATACTATTTTGTTGTGGCATATGGGGATAATTGGACTGATGTGATATATCATGTGAACTCAAAACTGCAAAAAAAGTGCATGAGAAGTACTCTTTGACATTGTCACTTCTTAAGATTTTGATTTCTTGATCGAATTGATTCTTGATTTTATTCAAAAAAGATGTGAAGATGGGTAACAATTCGGAATGATCTTTCATAAGATAAACCCAAATACATCTCGAATATTCATCAATAAACGTAACAAAAATACTTAAAACCAAAAGATGAGATGCGACTAGGTCCCCAAATATTAGAATGGATAATAGAGAAACTAGAATCACACTTTGATTGAAATTAATTTCACTAACATAAATAGACTTAATAATTATTCCAACAAGTCCAAATTTGTAATCTTAAACTTACAAGTTTACGGGTGAGTTTGAGAACAATGGATGGTCCTATTAAGTTGCTTAGATTTGAAATTCCATCTACTTAACTCCTTATTAAGTTTAATAGCTTGCAGGATCTCTACAGAAACAAAAATTAATATAGACATGCACTTATTCTATATGTTTAAATGTTTCCAATATTTTGTTTGTAGTATATTTTCTGTCANGACGAGCTCCTTGATCTTTGTTTGAAACAGTCACCAGCAGATTCACATCTAGTGAGGGTAGCGGCTTGTGCTTCATTGTCTGATATATTTATAAGGTTAGATATTTTTTTTCCTACCTTGAGACTATTAGTTGGTACAAATATTGGTCTGCAATGTAGAGTGCTCATGCTTGATGCATCTGATTTCTCTCTCTCTCTCTCTCTCTCTCTCTCTCTCTCTTTCTGCATGCTACTGCATGGTTGTCACCTATGTCAGCAATAATTTTTTCTTTCTCTGTTATGCATAATACTCAATAGGACGAGGTCAAGGTTGTTGGACTTGAGCTTGCAAAAACTTGTCAAACAAACCTGCCAGAGTTTACTTGATTAAAAAACAGTATTAATCTGTTTTTTGCAGTATCTAAAATAAATGAATACCATAAATTAATAAAAAGAAATTCCATGCCCCAAGTTTAAATATATTACCAGTCTTATTTTTAGGGCATTCCTCCTTGTTTTGAAAATGAGCCTAGCAACTGTATTGCTTGAGCACCTCGACCACCCTCTAATGTGAGATATCTTTTGGACTACAAACCAAACAAATTGGTGATATAAATTACACAATCCACTCTTTAACAGTGATCTCAGTTCTCAACTAATACTGCAAGATCAGAAAGAAAAAAGAAACAGAGACACCTTGTTCACAATTTAGGCTTCATAATGGCAGTCAACCAACTAGATAGAGGCCAGTAGTAGTTGCTCAAGTCCAAGTGTGTTAGTGAGGTGACTTGATTGGTGAGCCCACTCGGGATTAAAACCAGAGAAATATAATTTTAGAGGGCTTAATAGACCCTTCTCATGTTCTACTATGTCCTAGACTGCCAGGTACCATAAATAGAGATAACCCACACACTCCTCCCTACTTTAGTGCTTTCGACTTCACTAACATAAAGAGACTTAATAATTATTCCAACACTCCTCCTCAAGTTGGAGCATACAGATTGTAAGTACCAAGCTTGGAACAAATAAATTCAATCTGAGGTTCCCTTAAAGACTTGGCCAACACATCTGTGAGTTGGTCATTTGATCAAACAAACTTTGTACATATTTCTCTTGTCAACAACTTTTCACGAATAAAATGACAATCAATTTCTATATATTTAGTTCTCTCATGTAACACTCGATTTGATGCAAATGGAAAGCAACTTGATTATCACATACATCTTCATAGTCTGGATGTCACAGAAGTTAAGTTCTTGGAAGAACTGCTTCACCCATATAAGTTCATACATTAGTGATGCCATTGTCCTATATTTAGCTTTAGTTGTTGATCGAGGAGCTACATTATGTTTCTTACTTTTCCATGAATAATGTTTTTTTCAAGGAAAACACAATATCCAGTAGTAAACTGTTTGTCAATAGGCGAACCTACCCAATTTGCATCACAATACCTAGAGACCTGAATGCCTCCTCTATCTTCATATAACAACCCTTTTTCGAGAGCCTTTTTGAGGTACCTTAGAATGTGAATGATAGCATTCCAATTGCCAATACATGGAACCTGCATGAACTAACTAACCAGTCTACTGTATTGTATCTCTCTGAATCAGAAAATAATTCACCTTCTTTTGTCAATAATTTCTGATTTAGGTCCATAAGACTATCTAGTGATCTACAATCAATCATACCTTTTTCTTGTAATATATCAAGATCATACTTCATTGAGAGATTACAACTCCATCTTTTGACTGAGCTACATCAATGCCCAAGAAGTATTTAAAGCTTCCAAGATCCTTGGTTTGAAAATGTCTACACAAGTGCTCCTTCAGTTGAGATATTCTAGCATTATCATTTCTGTAATGACTATATCATGAACATATACTATTAAGTAAACATATTTCCCGAGAGATGTATGAAGTAAAAGACCGAATAATTTGCTTCATTGTGTCTTAGCCCAAATTTTTGAACAATGGAGTTGAATTTTCCAAACCAAGCATGTGGTGATTGCTTCAGGCCATATAGAGTGCGATGCAATTTGTATACTATACTAGACTCCCCTTGAGCAACAAACCGTTGCTCCATATAAGTTTCTTCCGCAAGATCATCATGGAGGAAGACATTTCTGATATCCAATTGATGAAGTGACCAATGATGAATTGTTCCCATTTCAAAGAAAAGACCAATTGTAGTCATCTTGGCCATTGGAGAGAAAGTGTCACAATAATCAAAGCCATAAACCTGAGTGTACCCTTTTGCAACTAACTGGGCTTTGAGTCGATAAACTTCACCATCGGGGCCGACTTGAACTGCATATACCCATTGGCAACCAACTGCCTTTTTGCCTAGTGGAAGGGCCATGGCTCCCAAGTATTATTGTGGTCAAGAGTTTGCATTTCTGCAATCATGGCTTGTTGCCATCAAAGAGGACCAAGTGTTTCATTCACATTTTTTTGGGTATAACCATAGAAGACACTGAGGATAAAAGAGAACAATAGGAAAGCAATAGCTAAGAAAATTATAAACATGATGTGGGTTTCGAGTGGAACAAGTACCTTTTCTGAGAGCAATGGGCCATCCTGAATCATCTTCACTAGGAGTCGTGGTATTAAGTGACAAGGGAGAAGAATTTGAAGTAGGGGATTCACCATTTTCTTAGAGTCGGAGGATATCGATATGTGGAGATGATGGTTGAGGAGGACTTTGATCAATATTTGAATTGACAAAGACATTAGAAATATTGGAATCAACCACTGGAATAGGAAGGACCTTCTGTATGACATGAACATCTCGAACTGAGGGGGAGAAGTAAGGAGTCTATTCAAAGAATGTAACATTGGCAAACATGTAGTACTTGGTTTCAGAGAATAACACCGGTACCCTTTTTGAAGTCGGGAATAGTCTAAGAAGACACATTTGATAGCACAAGCAGAAAACTTGTCTAACCCTGGAGACATGTCATGAACAAAACATACACAATCAAAACTCGAGGAGAAGTGTGAAAGAGAGGATTATTTGGAAATAGAATGGAGAAAGGAGCCTTATGATTGGAGAGGAGGACATCCTCTTAATGAGGAAACATGCAGTTAAGATGACATCTCTAGTGATGAATAGGAATATGGGCACCTAGTAAAAGGGTACAAACAATTTCAACCAAGTGTCTATTTTTTCTTCCTGCTATACTATTTTGTTGTGGCATATGGGGATAATTGGACTGATGTGATATATCATGTGAACTCAAAACTGCAAAAAAAGTGCATGAGAAGTACTCTTTGACATTGTCACTTCTTAAGATTTTGATTTCTTGATCGAATTGATTCTTGATTTTATTCAAAAAAGATGTGAAGATGGGTAACAATTCGGAATGATCTTTCATAAGATAAACCCAAATACATCTCGAATATTCATCAATAAACGTAACAAAAATACTTAAAACCAAAAGATGAGATGCGACTAGGTCCCCAAATATTAGAATGGATAATAGAGAAACTAGAATCACACTTTGATTGAAATTAATTTCACTAACATAAATAGACTTAATAATTATTCCAACAAGTCCAAATTTGTAATCTTAAACTTACAAGTTTACGGGTGAGTTTGAGAACAATGGATGGTCCTATTAAGTTGCTTAGATTTGAAATTCCATCTACTTAACTCCTTATTAAGTTTAATAGCTTGCAGGATCTCTACAGAAACAAAAATTAATATAGACATGCACTTATTCTATATGTTTAAATGTTTCCAATATTTTGTTTGTAGTATATTTTCTGTCACTTATTGTGTGAGTCAAACTAGTAAATCTTGGAACCAGTCTTAGTCCTATCGCTGGTGAGATCTGTCTTCATTAAAATAGCTTGCAGATTCCTGTACTAACTTTCTGTTACAAAATAGGTTAAGTAGATATCCTAAGATCAAGAAAGAATCATCTTCCTGTGCTGTTAAAGTTGTTCAGCCTACATTGAAGATGTTGACTGATGAGAACTCAGAGGCAATATGGGTAAGTTGGTTTTGGCAGTTCCTAGATTTGCATTTGGAATCAGTATATTTGAAGGTATTTTATATGTGCAATGTGTTAAGAGATGTAATGTCTTTTTGTTTTAAACTTATCTAATGTGGAAGATAGAATGTTTTGGTTGAGTGCAGACAAATGTTTAAATATAAGTTCTGTTTGCTGTTGACATTAGATACCCTACTTTTATTTGTCAATTCTCATATGCCTGTTATTCTTTTTTTTTTCCAGAAATTATATGCTTATTTGCTTACAGCGTTTTAATATTTGAATTGTGGTGAATGCAGGATGCTGCAGTTCATTTGTTATGCACCATAGCAACCTCATTTCCATTTTCGATTCGTAGTCATTATGATGGTGTAAGCTTCTCTTTTTTTGGAAGTCCTTAGTTTCTGTTTGCATGAGTAGAATTTTGCTTTAGACAAATTCCACTGCCTCCTTCTATACTTTTACCAGAGCAAGAATTTCAAACTCAAGTGGTATTTTTGATATGTTCCTTTGCTTTTAATTTCACCGGATCTTTCATTTTATGACTTCATTACTATGTTCCTGTTGCTCTTATTATTAGGCTGGTAGATATTGACATGCTGTAGGTAGAGTTTGGCATGTTGTGCTGTATGCCTCATTCTCAAGTTTATGTTATTTTCTCTTACATATTTTTTTGGTGTAGAAGGATTTATTATTGTCATC